GATCTCGGGTGAGGACGAAATGGCACGGCGGGGGGAAGGGTCGGGGTGTTGGGTGTAAGTTTGACGAAGAACGATACCGCTGAGGCAAGAATGAGTGAAGGAAGCACATTTGCTTGGGGAGTGGGCATACGCAAGATCTTTGTACTGGGCGAGATGGCATGGTGAGATAGGGGTTGTGGAAGAAATGGATGTAGTGAGAGCGATGCAGCGCAAACATGAGTGAGTCAACGAGGCGATGGCTACATCGCGAAGAACCGGTGTTGGCAGGAGTTCGGGTGGGTGCGAGGAGATAATACGGCTGGACAAGAGTCAGACAAGCGCTGTGTTTGACTGCAAGTAATGTTGCGCACCCATGGTTGAGTGAACGTGGCATGGGCCAGAAGGCAAGGAATCGGAGTAGGCTGGAGCTCGGACGGAGGCTGGATGGAATTGCCGGAGAACAATCGGGGACGGAGTTGGTTGGACGAGGGCCGACGCCTCGCAGTTTTCTACGAGTGAACAAGGTCCGAGTTGGAAGTCAGGAAATCGACGTAGCCTGGACTTCGGGTGGACACGAGACCGTATTGCTGGAGAAAGCTTGGGGGATGGGTTGGGTTAGAGCAAGAAGCGATGCCAAGTAGGTCACAGTGAGTGAAGGCGGCATGGGGTGGACCTAAGAGCTCAGTTGGACCGGGGCTCGATGGCACGGCCGGCGAAGGGTCGTGGAAGGGGTTGTTGTTTGGCGAGGAAATATGGCGCATAATTGGGAGTGAACGAACGAGTGGAGGCGTGGAAGGCAGGGACTCCATCTTTCCGGGAACTCCGGTGGAGCCGAGATGGGCTTGGGGGAGAACGGCGGAAACGTTGTTGGATTGAGGAGGAATGATGCTACGCCCTACACAACGAGTGAACGAGGCGGTCATTACAGGGCGAAGAATCGGCGATGCCAGGAAGTCGGAAAGACGTAGGATGGCATGGCTGGAGGAGGGTCACGGCTGGTTTGGCGAGGGGCGATGTGTCGCAGGTGAGA